TGGAGCTCCTTGAAATCTCAAACCGCTCAGAGATTTGGGGTGGTGTATAACAATATTGTACTGTATTATGGTTATTATATTTTATATTCAATTTATTACCTGCCTTTCGCCCTCAGATCCCATGGCTCATAGCAACAATTTAAAATTCAATATTAAAAACAAATTTAAACAACAACAACAACAACAAATTAAAACAGGGTCTGTAGGGAAGAAGGTGTGTTCACACAGGTGCAGTTCCCCTCAAATGCTACATTGCTCACTAGGTAAGAAGTAAAAGAGATACTATAAGAAAATAACTTCCATATTAGGACAATAGTGTTATTAGGCCAACCAAAATATTACAATATAGTGTGCAAGCTTTTGAGTTCTCTAGAACTAGTCTTCAGGATAGATGGAAATCAGATTTAATGCAGGAGGTGGGGAGAGAGAGGGTTGTTGGCTGATGATGAAGCCATGGAGTTTGTATCTGGTCACAGTCTCAAGATGGAATGTGGGAGGATGTAGTAGAGTAGACATTCACATTAGGCTATTTAACTGCTATGCAGGTATCAAGTTGCACCAGGGCCTGCTGGGAACAAATGACAGATATCCCATTTCTGGAAAAACTAAAACTGGTCATGTGGAGTGGAGAAAGAAAAGCTTTATCTGGCGGAATTACTCCTTCTGTTAGCAGAGTGAGGAAGCTGACTCTGGGTGTCCTGAAAAGGCAGCCGGTTGTTAGCTATTTAATAACTGTTGTATGTTTACTATACCAAGGTTGGGGAAAGTGGCTTGTGGGATTTTCTGCCTCTGACACCAAAATAACTTGACCAGCCTATTTCCACTTCAACTAGTCTCACCTAGCCTGAAGGAGCATTCATTTATTGCATGGGAATAAGCATGATCACCTGCTAATTGCTGCATATGTCAATGTATCTGTCTTACTAAATGTTTTTAATGTTTATTATTATTTATAACGGTTAAAATATAACACAAATGTTCAATAAACTGTTTTTTAAAGTCACAGAAGCCGATAAAAAGTTGGTTACCCAGTTTTCAGTCACTCCTGTTGTTGTGACCCACCTTAGATCATGGCCCAGGAGTGGGTCCTGACCCACAGTTGAAAACCACTCTCCTTGAACCCTAAAACTGCCTTTCTGAGCTTTTAACTCTGCAAAAGTTTAATTTTTAATTTTATTTTTTTAAAAAAAATCATTTTTATTTTTAAAATAAAAGCTGAAAGCAGCTTTTTGTTGTTGCTATTAATTAACTAGTCCATAACATATTGAAATGAATTGCCTGGGATCTTTGCACATTTCTGGACTTAAGGAAATGTACTTGGATGAAACACTCAGCAATATTTATCCCGACAGGGTTCCTAAACTCAAAATACTTCATCCTCCCACCTGGTAGCGCTGCCTCCTCTATCTTGCGTTTCTTTTCTGATCGTTTTCAAAATATCGCTCCACTTTAACAAGAAAGTGGGGTGGCTTTTGCTTTAGAGCTCTGTAGTGTAATAATTTTAGTTTAGTAATCCTATTAGCAAAGGAAAGGGGGAGGTGTGCCCCCTTTTCTTAAGGTGCAAAGCTCTATTTTGGTGCTGTCTGCACATGGATTATGATAGTAAAAATACACCAGCTGGCAAATCTCATATGTGGTGTCACCCAAATCCAGGACAACTCACAAATCCTCACTGATTGTGGAATCTCAGTCTAGATTTGTTAACTTTTAAAAGACAAGTCTTCTTTCCATCCTCTGGATTTTCAGAGTCATGGCTCTCAACTTTCTTATCCTGTTCTTACTCTACAAATTGGTCTTTGCAGAATAGCAAATTAATGAAAGAACTGTCAGATTATATGTACCTATATATATATATGTATATTATATGTATATATTGCCTTGGCTGGTAACTAATGTTTAACTAATTTTATTTTGAACTGAGCAAGAAGTGGACATTGCCAGGAAAAACTGCAATATCCACAACCCAGTGGATATCCACAAACCAGCCTTCCAGGACACTCTTTAATAAACATATCTTAAGGTGTCCATTCTGGACTGAAGGAAGAATACAGCATGAAACAGCTGAATTACAATACATGAAAAAGTTCAATGCCACTGCTTTTGGGTTAAATAGAAACAACAGTTTTTTATAATACTGTATGTGTTAATTAGCTGACCAATGCCAGTTTATCTATGCTATGTATTATTGCAAATGTAGTGGTTCCTGGCCCTGCTGTAGGTGTCATTAAATCATCTCACTTGTTCTCAATTATCACCAATCTGCTTCTATAAAAGATTAGAAGTTTGCCTATTTAATATACATTTTCACTGTAATTTTTGCTGCTCAGTGCCATTCAACTCCCACATTACACTTTTCTTCTTTTGAGGTCTGTCAACTTGAGTGGGTACACAGCATCCTGGACATTTAAAGTTCTTCGTCCAAAAAAAATTGGGAACCGTAGTTTACCCCTACAGACCTACAATTCTCACTAGTACCCTTCACAAACATCATTTATCAGGACTTGGGGAGTGTGCTTTAAATGTACTAAAACTTAACTTCATGTACCTGACAGAAGGAGGATTTAAGCCATAATACTTTTATTAATTGCAGCCAGTGATTTTTAAGGTAATAAATAAATAAATGAGGTACCAGTATTCCCATCTTGTTCATGATATTGGGTGCTAATGCAAAATAGCTGCCATGGGTAGCAGAAAAGACGAAAAAGGTGACAGTATACCATACCAGAAAGTACTGTAACCAAAAAAATCACTGATTGCCGCTTTCAGTTTAAAGTCTTGAGAATTTCTCAGGTAAGATGTGGTTTATATTTGTAATCACAATGTGTGTTTGGGGTGGGGGCTACTTGGAATTTATATGGGCAGTTGAGGTGGACCTCACTCAGAAATATGAAGCTTCCCTGAATATCAAGTTATAATTTAAAAATAAAAGAACAGAAAAGAGTAGCCACCTCTCCTCTTTACCTAAAGAGAAATAAAGAAATATGCACCAGCACTATCCTACCTAATAGATCAGTCAGTAGAAAACCAATTTCCATCTTCCAGTATTATGGCCAATGAGAGCAAAGTGATTGACAAGAACTTTACATTTATTTTCCTTTTTTGTCTCTTTTAGGAGTAAAGTCTCCATAGGACTAAAGCTTTCTCCAGGGACAGCCCCACCATTAGATAGAGTGAGGTAGTCATGGAAAAAAGCAGTGAGCTGTTAGTTGTTTATTTAAGTTAATTTCTGTATGTTTTTACTCTGGTGGCGCAGCGGCAGCAGGAGGCCCCATTAGCTAAAGTGGTGCTTCAGGTTAAGAACAGTTTCAGGTTAAGAACAGACCTCTGGAACGAATTAAGTACTTAACCCAAGGTACCACTGTATTACAGTTTTAATTTAAATGGCAAGACATTAAATGCAATGGGTGAAATTCAACGTCCCACTATGACATAACATGAGATATTACTGTACAGTGGTACCACTTTAGCTAATGGGCCCCCCCCCGCTGTTGCCGGGGCATGATTTCTGTTCTCATCCTGAAGCAAAGTTCTTAACCTGAAGCATTATTTCTGGGTTAGCGGAGTCTGTAACCTGAAACGTATGCAACCTGAAGCGTATGTAACCCAAGGTACCACTGTATAGCTATTCCCTGTCAGGAAAAGAGGGGGGAGTATAAATAAATATGTAGTGGCATAAATAAATAGAAAAATAGATAGTCTTTCCTGGTGGCTGGTGATTTGGAAATGCAGATATTTGTTCCCAGGCCCCTCCTACCCATTAAATGCTAGGAAAAGTCTTGCTGCTGCCCTGAGGGAATTTTGGGCGGGAAGCAGCTTTCCCTCAGGGCAGAGTTTGGTCCACTTGTCTTAGAACAAAAGCAGTGAAGGAAAAAGGAAAACCGTGACACCTCTTCCTCACAAAATCAGTTTCAAGCCTCACCCCCAATCTTCTTTTGGGCTCTTCTTCCATGCACGATCCTTCTTGAGAGTAGGGTGTGTGTGTGATCCTTTTTCATTTCTGTGAGGAGATTATTTATATAGCAATGTCTCTTAAACATGTCCTTAGTGTCCCATGGACCTCGTAGTTAAGTCACACATCAAGACGTTTGGTTACAATATCGGGCAGAGAGAAATGTACCCCATCAACTCCCCTCCCTACCATACACAGATTACACCATTTTGTAATCCCCCCGTGCTTTCTTTCCTGTGGTAAAAAACCCCCGAGGTGCCAGTACATGCACATTTGTTAAAAGTGTTGTGGGTGCCAGCACAAAATGGCTGCCGCTGGGCAGCAAGAAGGTGCCAGGGTACTGTACAAAAACTTGTTACTTTTGTGACTTTTTCAGTCATGAAAAAGACCTGCCCCTCCTTATCTCTAATTGTAACATTAGCAAAGCTTTAAAAAGTGGGGAGGTGTTTAAGAAAGACAATTTTCCCCCCCTTTTAAATGGAGAACTGAACGATATACGTAATTTTAAAAAGCCTAATTATCTTATGATAAACTCAATTTTTCATACAACATGACAAAAACGAAGGGCTTGGCCAAAGTCACACGACTTCATGACTGAAGAGGTATCTGAGCTGAGGTTTTTCTTTGCTCCCAAGTCTCATCAGCCTATCAGCTAAAATCCACAGTTTTCCGTCTTGCATGCAGATATATTTTCGCTTCCGTCTTTTCTCGGGTTCTGGAGGAGAAAAACTGCTTCTTTAAAAATTTATTTAACATTAATATTAGTCACTTGAAAAGAAGCAAACCATCATACATATTCATTCTCAGATATACATATAGAGCACTAGATTGCACTTAATTCCTTTCCTATTGGAATTTCCTGAACACAGTGACTATAAATGAAGCAGGATAAATCAAATTGTGGATAGAATGCTCTCCAGCCAACTCCAAGCTGAACAGATTAGAAATTGTTCAAGAAGTCATCATTTCTTTGGTTCTCGGCAAACTAGGGGTGGAGGGTGAGGAAAATCAGTTCAGATTAATTTTTTCTATTGCAGGTTTATTATTTAACCTCAAATTGCTGTCATTATGTAGGTGGGCATGTGAGAGAGATGGGCATCTCTGTCCTCACCTTATTAACTGCTCTTCCATATTAGCCACAATCCAGAGTAGGAAGTATATCTCATCTGCATGCACAACACATTGAGTGCCTTATTTTACTGTTCAGCTGATGCCTCTGCTGCGTCAAAACCTGCTTTGGAGTTTCAGAAGTGGCTTGCAGTCTAATGTCCTGTCCTGTGATGGAAAAATACGGGCCCAAGCCAAGGATGGAATCCAAGTAAACATAGTTATTGAATGCTAGGCTTGGATTTCATCTGGAACTAGATGAGGATTTTATCTCTTTCATGACCCAGGCAAGATCAGTAAGAGCCATCTGAGATTTTAGCATTTTCCATCACCCACAACAGATTTGATTAGTGGATTCTGAATGAACAGTTACATGTACTGTGCTGACCATAGACAAAATATGCCTAAATCTGCTCAGCATGCTTGTCCTGAATTTCTGAGAGTATTCACAGTTAGTTACAATATTTATTATAATTTTCCTTATAGAGAAATGGTACATATGTTTTGTAATACAAGTATTTTGTAATTATCCTTTGGTGTTTTTTAAATCTCTGTTATAGATAAACTTATTCTCCTCATCATTACAGGCTGCTATGTCTAATAAGAAATTTCAGCTCCAAGAGTCAGAGCAGGAGCAAGATAAACCTGATAGTCCATTTGACATCTTCACTAATCTAGAAAGAAATGATTTAAGTGATAATCTATCCAGGTAAGAATCACATTTTAAAAAACACACCAAATAAAGCAAAATACCAAAATACTGTTAAATCTTCAAATAACTGTGCATATTGACAAAAGCATGTCCTAATCTAACGATTTAACAGATGTGAAGGAGTTGCTATGGGTAACAAAGGTGGAATCATTCATAAAGCAAATTTTTTAGAGAGATTGGTTTTCAGTGTAAATTCTTACTGAAAGTGGTTCACTCCTAGTATGGGAACACTTAGCAGTATCAGCTACGGCTGCACCTGGTCCAGAGTACCACATAACCAAAATGTGGGTGCTTGACTAAGGTTGTACACAAATATTATGCACATTATGGCCACAACCATTGGAACATAGGAATATTCCTTATAGTATTGGTTCATCTACCTCAGTATTTTCTACAGACTGGCAGCAGCTCCTCAGGGCTTCAGACAGGTGTGTTTCCCAGCCCTGCGTGTAAATGCCAGGGACTGAATCTCTGATCTGTTGCATGCAATGCAAGACCAGGGTGTATTCCTGAGAATATTCCAGTGACCCCCACTGAATTATGGGATCAGAGAGAAGGGATGAGTCCACATTTCTTCAATCAAGAGAATACTAGATGAAATGTAGGACTTTGGATGGGGTCTTTGGCTCAATCATGAAATTCACTGGTGGGCTTTCAGCCTCCAGGCTTGTTGTGAGGATAAAATGGGATAACCTTCTCAATGCTCCCCCTGGGCTTTTTGGAGGAAGGGTCAGTGGCAGAGACTTGGATATGAAGAAAACCTGGAATCTTTTGGTGCGAGTGGAGGTAATTCTCAAAAAGTGTTTCATTGGCACAATATGCCAGTGCAACTCTTCCCTACATCTAAAACAATCTCTCCTGCTTGCGATGTTGGCACAGTAAAGAGACTTACTTGGTGGGAGTGTCCCAAAGCAGCATTCTTTGGGGATATAATTTTCATCAATATCAACTGTATTATGGGCCAGGATCTTCTGCCTATTCCATTACTGTGAAAACTAAAATAAAAACTGAAAGCTCAAGGAACTTGTAGGCTTCCTATTAATGACAGCCAGATTGGTTATCACTAGACATTGGGAATACCTTGACCTCTTGCTGGGTACCTGGTACAACAAAGCCTGATTTCTGTCAGTCTCAGAAGAATTAAGCAAAATATGTCTCTTTAGGGGACAAATTAAGAAAGATACATTTTATAACATTTGGCATTTTTTTATTGAATTTACAGTGAATATGTTTGCCCCCAATGAGAACCCCCCCAATAATGCACCTTGGTTTGGAATCAGAAACCAGTTTGGTGATATGTCTCCTTGTGTCTGGACTGAGTGGTCTTGACATTTTCTTCCTATTACTTTTTTGAGCAAACTTTCTTGATAATCCTGTGAAGTAGGAGAATATATTGTAAGATATGACTAAATTATGACTCATTTCTTTTGGCTTATTTTGTGTGTATGCATAACCAATTTCTTTATAATTTGAACTTTAAAAAATCAAATAAATTGAGTAGCCCCCTCTCTTGAGTAAAATACTGGTGCCTTTGCTGTTTTGAATTCAAATGCGAAATGAAGACAATTCAAACAGCATTTGACATTTTTTCATGATATATAGGAAAGAAACTTCCAGCACACCTCTTCCTAATTCAGATACAACTGGAGGGGAGTCAAACAGCAAATCCTCAAGTTATTTTATAGCCCTTGATTCATCTATTGAAAATCTGCAAGAAAGAGCCCAGCAAATAATTGATAAGATGAATGAGAAGCGTAAGGAAGACCAAGTGCTCATGAACAATTTCCGAGAAAGTCTTTTGATGAAGGTAAACATATGTGGGGGAAATGGAGTGCAGGGAATCTGAGTATCAGGAAAGAATTATTGAGCTCCATCTTGCCAGCTTTGTACTATTTTCCCCCAAACATTACAAATCTACCTGGTGCATTTAACTAAGATTTACAAATTATTAACACCAGTGTCCTGGAAAAATGTTAAGTACCAGCCTTGAGTTTATTCCCTCATACCACATCCCCTCCGACTGGACAAGCTCCCTCAATTCTTTCCTCTTCCCACTTCCTATATTGAAACGTTCTTTCTCCACATCCATATTGCCTAATCTTCTCATCTTCATCCATGAACTCTGCGCTGTTCTCTGCTTAGCAGAAGTGGTTCCCTGGGTGGGGTAGACCTGCTACACTAGTTTTCCAGTAGGTGGGTCACTGTTGTTTAGTGGGCGAGGCAGTGGGGAGACAAACATGGTGCAATCAGTGTTTAGCATGCCACCCTCTGCTTGCCAGGCTCTCCTTCCTATTTGTTTACTGACATGCCCATGTTGCATCAGTAACACCTGAAAAAAACCCCACAGTGACCACACCACAAATAGCGTTTTGTGACCACTTCAAAGGAACTCAAAATTACTGCATGGTTGTCTATTTGATTGTGTTCTAACTTGTCACAGCCCAATCCTGCCATTTCATTTTGCTATACTTCCTAGGCCCTACATGTAAATGTGACCGTCATGTGTGAACATAGGAATTATCACTTAATCCTTAGCTACTCATAGGTGGACACATTTGTGTTAGAAATGAAAAGCAGGTAGTCTTTTGATTCAGGGAAACCCTATTACTAAGGAGTCCTTAGAAATCTAAAGTCTACTTTAACTCCTGCTTCTTTCTCTTTCTACCAAAAAGGTTTCAAGCTTGGCAGAGAAGTTGGAGGAAAGCATGTTCCCTGTCTATGATCATCATAACAAGCTCATTCAAGATAAAATCCAAGAGCTTTACCAGATCATGGAGAGGATCAAACAAATTGAAACAGAGCTCAGGAAGGTCTGTCACACTGTGGAGATGTTATATAAAGACCTGTGTGAGCAGTCTGAATTGTGAGTGCATGGAGAGAGAAAAAGTTGGGGAATAGTGTTACATGTCCTTTTGCATCATTGGTGAATGTAATGGATATATACTTACTTGGTACCCCAAGCCCCTGTAACCTGAGTTCTGACTGTTTTTGTTGTTCTGAATTTGTTACTTGTTTTAAAAATACTTTTAAAAAATAATGAAGGTGGGGAAAGGAAGAACGTATTTAAACTGAAAGGAAAAAACTGAATCCCAGTTATCAGGATCAAACTAGACATGTTCATATTATATAGCAGATTTTTGTTAAATAGCTAAAGTGGAAGGGTGGGGTAGCAGGATTGGGACCACTGAATGGCAGGAGGGTGCCTTTACTCCTTTGCCCCTGCCACAGGCCTGGCTGGGCCAATCTCACACACCTGTTACATCACAACTGGTATCATGGGAGGTGGGATTCCTATCACAACACAGTAGGAACAAAGAGTTGAAGGCTCCTCCCCTTCATTTAATAAAAAATCAACTACAAAACCAAACTATGCAACAGATATCACATTTGGCCCTCAGTAAGCAAATTTCAGGCACTTTGTTCGTCATTCTTTGCTTGTGTGTACAAGTCGAATTATTCCAGGGTGAAAACTCAATAAAATTGGAAATATATTGGCATGAAAAACTGTACTTTATTTTTGTTTTACAGGAGTGTTTGAACTACTGCCATTATGTCTTAAGGAACTATAAATATAACAAAATGGCTTGAAAAGATACTGACTAAAGCAGAATGAAGGGAAACATAGTCCCCGATTTCTGTCTCCTGCTTCCATTTTGTCATCATTGCGCTATTCCAACAGGGCATTTTTTAAGGGTGCTGAACTATTCGGTTGTCTGGTCATGATGGCTTATTAATTATGCTACTACTGCTAGTCATTTCTGCACGTTTTGCACCAGAGCATGCATGGCAATTAAGCCAGGGATTTTTGTTACCACCAAGATAATGATGTACTCCTTGCAAAGACAATTTAGTGTACTGAAGATATCAAACACTATCTCATTTGATATGCAGGGCTGGCCCAAAACATTTTGCTGAAAACAGGATGGATGGACTGGAAGTTGGTATTAAAATCAATACCGATGATGGGACAGTATCCTCCACTACATGCAAAGATAGCTACGTAACTAACTTAAGGAGTGAATGGCAGGCTGCATGGCATGCACAGCTGTGTCCCATGATCTTGCCACTGCTCCCTGCATGTTCCTAAATTCAAGTTACACTAGAGGCTCAAGTGACCTCAGTGGCTAGAAGTTAATTTTTTTTCAACTCCAGGTGCTACAACAGCTCCAGCCCCTTTTAGCCAGAAATGACTTGGCTACTGTACTGCATGCTCTGGTAACTTCCAGATCAGATTACTGCAATGTGTTTTTCATGGGGCTGCCCTTAAAAGATGACTCATAAACTTCATCTGTTTCAAAGTGCATTGGCCAGATTACTGGCTGGGGTTCCATTTAGATTTCATGTAACCCGCTTTAAAACAGGTGCATTAGTTGCTGTCATATACTATATTGATATAATTGAATATAAATTAGTCAACGCCTGGCAAATATTCAGAGAAGATCTGTAAGATATTTGACATCATAATTAACCAAGGAGAGCTTTGTTTCAGCTCTAGAACGCCTGGGATAGAATTGGTATTCAGAATCACTATTGAAATTGAATTTGCTAATTTAAGTATGCATGCTAATTGGTTTAATTTATCATGGACCTATCCAAAGTTATTGCTTCCTTGGGTGTGGCAGTGACAGCTTAAGATCTTATGTTCATGTTTTATACTGGCCTGGAAGCATGTTGAGTTGAGAATAAATAGTGCTCAATTCACTCTGAAGTTAACCAGTTGGTATACAGATTATTTTTAGACAACTTGAGTGCATGAGTGCATGATTCAGCAGAGTTGTTTTTAAGGTAAACTCAGACAACTTCCATTCAGAGATACTTTCATAATCAGCTGCTGCCACTGCTTGCAGTTATCCAACACAAACTGCAATAAAAAGAATCAACTGATGGTAATAAAAGCACACTGAGAAATTTAAAAAGCAGCAGCAGCAGCAGCATTCAGTTTATTTTTACCTGGAATTGCTATGCTTGGCTTCACACACTTCAGAGAATCCAGAAGACATCACTGCCAGCCTGTTGCATCGTTTTCTTTGTATTACTCCTGTCGTCTTATTTTAGGTAAAAGGCAATTGTCAGCCTGTCCACAGTGGATTGACAATACATTATTGAGGCTTTCCAGGCCTCTCTACCTTTAATTAGAAGCTTCCTACTTGTTCGTTTTGTGTCTTTTTAGGTGCTGCAGCAGCAATACTAATGAATCAGCCCCATAACTGCTCCCGTCTGTCAGTTCCTCTTTCCTTCAAGGGGACCATTAAATATCCTACCCCAAAGGAAACTAATGAGCAATTCTGGGGTCAGTTCATCAGTATGCTATTGTGTAAAGCAGGAAACAATCAGAAAAGATCACACAATGAGAAGGATCTAAACTTTATAAAAGGATCTTGGCCCTGGAGACATGCCAAGATTATATATTGTGTTGTCATCAAGTGTTGTAAGGAATCATCATTTTAATTTTATTTCTAGAGTGTTTCTGAAAACATGGTGTAGTATGGAAGAACCTGAGGTCAGCCTCTAAGCCCCACCCATTGTAATGTGGCTATAGACCGCAGGTGCTAAAAACCAGCTTCCAGCACATCCCCACTTATAACTTCCTGAATTCCACCCCACAACAACAAGGATTATGTAACACATAAAGAATGCAAAGTGGCAGGTGGGCAGGGGCCTCTGGCAAGCCTCCACCCCACTTTGGAGTGATGTTGTGGCTGGGACCACAAACTTGACCAAAGTTGAGTCACTTAAATGTTTCCCATACTGTGCAGGAGCTACTCACAGAAAGACATCCCCACACAGCTGATGGAACATTTAAGGGACCCCTTCAGGGGAGGAGAGGGAAGTGGTGACAAGGGAAAGAAGATGCATGAGGTCAGCACAGTGGAAACATGCCAGGAGCACAGATTGGCTCTGCCAGTGCGATTCCACCATGCCAACCTCACTGCCACCTCAGCCCTTCCCCTCTCCATCCTAGTAGGCAGTAGCCACTTAGCTGGAGGGAGTCCAGGTGACTGGGGCAGCTCCAACACTGTCAGTTACTGTCCAAACCTGTTTGAAATTAGCTTCAGATTGTTACTGGTCACCTGCCCGATAAAAATGGCGCATCAGGTCTTCAACTTCACATACATATATCTACTGTGGAAAATCCACCAAATTCAATTTATTCTTGAAGAAAAAGCTGACATGAGAATCACAAGTTCAAAGAAGCCCTAGCTGAGCTCAACAGAAAAAACGGTTCAAATGTCAGTCCTTGTTTAACAAATGGGTACTGAGGCACTGAAAGGCAGCAGCTTGCTCAAGGTCGCATGACAGGACGAATGCAAAGTGGACAGTAAGTTGTAATTCCCACTCTTAGTGCTTAGTAACCTCAAGGGCTGCATTAAAAAGAACAGTAAATCATTAAAATGGCAGATAATATGCAGTTATGGACACCTAAATAAGCAACCAAGGCTATTGTCCTGGCTGGGTCCTGTGGCAGCAGAGAGCTTTTCATAGCATGACTGTCTGGCACAGTTACATGCCAAAACAGCTTGCCTCCTAGACAATTTGGCAATATTTGAACTGTGCTATTCCTTTATATTGCAAATTTCTCTGCTTGCCATCACCCTCCCTACTACCCACTGAAAGGATAAATCCAAGTCTTAATGATGTGCTCCTTTGCCATCTTAATGCTCTTTATCTCTATGCCTCCTGGTGGAGAAGTAAGTATTCTTGAATGCCTGGTTTTGGTACGGCTTCAAATTCATGACGAATAATTTGAGCTGAGCTGAAGAAACATTTGTTGAGAGTCCAGTCAGCAGCAATAGCTTTCAAAACCGTTGTGGCATCACCAAACCCCACTGCACTGGAGCCATGAGCAGCAAATAGGAACCCTGCAGAAATGCATTCAGTTGCTGACGGTAAAGGCCTGAAGTCCAGTGATAGCTCTCCCAAGGATGAGCGCATGGATGTCATGGGTCCCTGGGGAAAAAACAAAAGTAAGCGGTCTGAAAAAGTGGGCTTCCAAGTTTGATCCCTGGCATCCCCAGGTAGGGCGGAAAAAACCTGTTTCAAATCCCAGAGAGACACCATTAGTCAGTGTAGACCCGTAGTTCCCACAGGGGACCAATTTGATTTTTAAGGGGAGGGCAATTCGAGAATGAGTTAGACCATGTTAATGGCCTTTTAGGCTTCCTCCACGTGAACAGGAGTTCACTTTTTGAATAATATTCACTTTTTGAATAATAAGGGGGCTGGGGTGCATCAGGATTTTAGAGATGCTTAGGTGGGGCATGGCCAAAACAAGGTTGGGAACAACTGATGTAGACAATACAGATCTAAACAGACCAATGGACTGCACTCTTTTGCAGAATGCATGCCTAGATTTAGGGCCCATTCTGATAGGTGGATGCTGTTACAGTGTGGGTTTTTCGGTATGGTGTTAGGGTAACTGTGAGCAAAGCGTCCACAATGTGGCTCCTTCTTATGCTGGCAATGCCTCTCTCCACAATGAGGTAGCACTAGCACAGAAAAGATCTCCATCACAGACTCTCTGCATGTGGTCTGGGCCCCTGATGTTTCTCTAGTGGCTTGGACAGGGGCCTCTCTGCAGTGGCTCTCATGTCACTTGAGTAATGTTAGAATAGTTCCAACACTCCATGGATTTCCTTGATCCACTTTGTAGGGGGAAGGATTTGCATGGTGGTGTATGGCTTGGCAAATTTCATATGTACTGAACAAACGGTGCATTATAGTGCCTTAAGGGATACATCCAATAAAGAAAAAGGAAAGGAAGAGAAGAAGGCTGCCTTTATGCTACAACCTTGCTAAGTTATTTTCCAATCCTCCGTACAGTCACACCTTGGGTTACAGATGCTTCAGGTTGCACTTTTTCGGGTTATGGACCGCCAAAACCCGGAAGTACCGGAATGAGTCTCTTCCGGGTTTCAGCAGTCAAGCAGGCGCAGAAGTGATAAATCGTGCTATGCGTTGAATCGCAACCCGCGCGTGTACAGATGCACCGCTGCGGGTTGCGGACGTGCATCCCGCACGGATCATGTTCGCAACCCGAGCGTCCACTGTATTTATTTTCTGATCCCAACAGAAGTTCCTCAAAACTGTGATCTTGCAGGAAGAAAGCCAGGAAGCCAATTTACCTTCGTACGTGTTGACAGCCTCCAGGTTCATGACGTGCCTGATAACATGGTACTCGTCAGCAATTCCATTGCCCCCCAGCATGTCACGGGCTTGCCGGGCAATCTCCAGAGCCTTCCCACAGGAATTCCGCTTCAGCATGGAGATCATCTCAGGAGTTGCTCTGGGAACACAGAGGAGATAACATAATAGAGCAGGGAACTGGAAGACAGTTGGGAGCTTCTGTTTTAAAACATAGGCAGAGTACCCAAAGAAGGACAATGCTTAACATGTTGTTAGGGACAATATTTGTTTTTGTTTTTTTATTTAAAAGGGAGGAACAGGAGATATGGGAGGGGTGCAGGGCAGCAATTAATTCTACCACTCCAGGACATCACCACTTAATCCCTAACTTGTTCACCCTGGAAATGCAATGAGTGCTCCTTATCCACAAACCAATCCCATACTTCTTCCAGTCAGTAAAACCCCTTAG